GCTCAGAGCATGTGGGGATTGTTAGTGGTGAGGGTTCTCTAAGAAAACTGCTTGGGCATGGGTTATTATTGACTTTATTTGATTTATCTTGTAGATGGTGGGGTCTCCTCTGAAGGTTTCTGACAGGAAAGATGCAACCAGATTTATATTTTAAAAATCACACATCAAAGGAGAATGAAAACAAAAGAAGCATGTTAGAAATACTGTCACAGAACCGAAAGGAATGACGGTGACCCTGCTTGGCTAGTGGCAATGGGAAAGGAGGGCTGGGGATAGGTTTGAGAGAAGTGTCAGCGATGTGCTTGTCAGAATAATGTATAACTTTGTTATGTGGTCTCAGTGAGAACTAGATCAGAAAAAGTTGGCCATGTGTGACTCTTGACCAGGCATGCTTGGTGAAGATTACACAATTTTTCTGTTTTATCTGTAAAATGGGTATGAGAACACATATTAAAAAGATGTTATGGGGCCGGGGATTTAGGTCAGGGGTTCTGCCGCCTGCCTTGCAAACATAAGGACCGGAGTTCAATCCCCAGTATGGAAAAAAAAAAAAGATGTTTTTAAAGTTTAAATGTAACAAACACAGTCTCCTGTGCATAGAGAAGTCTCAAAAAATGTTTGTTATTATCACTTCCTCTGTATTTTTTACTACCTCAAAATTGGGTTAATGTCAATATACTGCTCTGCTTTCATGAGATAATATAGTTAATATTTAAATCTCAGATACAATGCCTCATTTTGAGGGAAGACTTCATTCTAGTGAGATGTGGGTACATATATGGCTACATTTATATTGCTTTAATGTCAAGATAAAAATAGATACTATCCTTTAAAAGAAAGCTGGAGTAAATGAAGTGTGTTTATAAAGATTTATGTATGGCACTAAATTAATTCCTGAGGACTAAGGTATTCGCAGTCATTACTTCATTTCATTCTAACAAGTACAAATGAGCATGTCAAAAATGATGACAATTATTACGCTTTTATAATTTGATTTCTTACATATTCTAATTATATTCTTTTAATTAGCAACCACTCTTTGTTTTTCAGCTTCCCCAAAGTGTGACTGAAATCACTTCTTAATGCAAAACAGTTTGTAATTTTTATGTAAGATGACATGTTATTAAGTAAAAAGAATGACAATTGTTTTTCCACTAACGACTTAGTAATGACAAAAGAGAACTTCAGCAAATCACTGAGCAAATATCTAATTTAAAAATGTCTTGAAAAAGTTATTGTGTCATCACTATCAGATCCCAAGTCAAGATGACACCGGAGCTGCCTACATTCAACTCTGGAAATTTACCCAAGATTTTGACCAGGCAAGGAACAAAGATGGCATATTTCAAGAAGCTTTAGAAATGTCACTTTGAAGACCTTGTTAGGATTACGCTGGAGAGCTGTTCAGTTATCATAACGATGCTTAACAGCTGCATCCCCCTCGCTCCTGGGTCCAGGACTGGGTGTACCACACACTGCATACATATGATTTTATGATACTCACAGTCGCCTGCATCACCAGAATTCTCTCTACAAATGATGCCCAGTTCACCTCTGTCCTGTTCCAAATTTAATTTTACTACGTCAGCGTGATACCAGCATTATGTGTCAGTGTGGTCATATATTTATAGGAACAAAAGAGGAGGGGGGTATTGAAGCCTTCAGTAGTTACAGGTAACCTGATCTTCACTATCTCCTTTCATAGGTTCTTCACGTCTTTTCTTATATTCTGTAACAATCAAGAAATTTTTACTTTTACCTTTGCTTAAGTATTTGGTGTTATGTTTTAGATATTCAATGTCCTCCAAAGGTTCATGTTGCCCTATTTTGGGGCATTGTTGGGAGGTGATGGAGCATTTAGAAGGTGGGGCTTAGAGAGAGGAAGAGGTCAGGGCTGTGGATTTAGCTCAGTGGTTCCACCGCTTGCCTTGCAAGCTCATGGACCCGAGTTCGATCCCCGGTGCCAAAAACATAACAAAACAAAAGGAATCCAAAGAGAGGAAGAGGTCATTGGGGGTGTACCTCTGAAGAGGATATTGGGACTGCAGTGCCTCTCTGAACTTTCCTCTTCTCTCCCCCACCTCCTTCTCTCTCCTTTTTCTCCCCTGACCCCTTCCTGGCCTCTGTGACATAAATTTTGCTCCAACATGCACTCTCTTTTATGACATTCTGCTTCACAACAGGCCTAAAGCAACTATGAACTAAAACCTCAGAAACTATGAGCCAAAATAAATCTTTCCTCTTTTTAAATTGATTATGTCATATATTGTGTCATAGTGACTAATACATTTAGGATAAAATATCTTGGTGTCTTCAAATTGTCTTCAAGTGGTTCCATTTAAAAAATCATGTACAAAAAGAGGTTAAGGGAGGGACAGAGAAATATGAAGCTGATATAGCAGTACATAGACAATGGTGAAACTGGGTAAGAGGCAACACGGGTATTTATTCATAGTAGCATTCATTCTACTATTCAATACATTTGAAATTCAATGTAAAAGCATTTATAAAAGCTTTCTTAATTTTTTTTTCTTAAAAACGTGATGAAAAACCTTTAAAGAAGATTTAATAATTAGAGGAGGATGGAATTTGTGACTACAATAAAGGTCCATCAATAAAACAAAGATGACTTTTTAAAAAACTAAAATGGAGCCAGCTTGGTGGTGCATATTTGTATGAGCACTCTGTGAGGCCGAGGCAGGAGGAATGAAAGTTCAAGCCTAGCTTGGGTGATTTAGTGACACCCTGTTTTGAAATAAAATTTAAAAAGAAGGTTGGCAATGTAGGGCAGTGTGAATGCCTCAAAAAAAAAAAAAAGAGAGAGAGAGACAAAGAAAATATTTTATGATGTTAACTATGGTTCTTATTGGCTTGGTTTTTAAAAAGTTATTATCTCATTATATTTCTTAGTAGGTTTAGACTTATGGAATAATTTATCAGACAGTACTTATAGTTCCATGTACTCACTTTCTTCCTTAGTTTCTCCTACTACAAAATCTTGTATTTAGCCCAGCAAATTTTTCCAATTAATGGATCAGTACTGATGTATTTGTATTACTTAAAATCCACAGTTTCCATCAGTTCATTCTTTATTTAGTCCATTCAATGGGTTTTGACAAATGATGTGTATCCACCACTCTAGCATCACAGAGTACTTGCACTACCCTAAAAGTCCCGGGTTCTACTTGTTCCTCATTCCCACCTTCTCTGCATCTGAACCCTGGCAACAACTGACCATTTTATCATCTTCGTATTTTTGCTATGTCATAGACTTGGAAACGTACAATATGTAGCCTTTTCAAACTGGCTTCTCTTATTGAGCTATAGACATTTAAGGTTCTCCCATGTCTTTTTGTGGCTTGATAGCTCCTTTTTTATTGCTGCAAAATACCCCACTGTGAGTAATGTACCACAATTTGTTTACCTGTTCATCTGGTGAAGGACATCTTAGTTTCTTCCAGTGTTTAGTGTTTATGAATAAACATTCTAGTGTAAGCTTTTGTGTGAACATAGCTTTCAACTCAACTAGGTTAATTCTTACAGATGTGATTAATGGATCCACTGGTAAAACTGTGCTTAACTATGTACAAAATTGCCAAGCTATCTTCTAAGGTGGTTCCATTTTGCTTTTCTACCATCAATGAACAAGCATTTCTGTTGCTCTGCGTCCTCACCAGCATTTGGTGTTATTTTTTGCATTTTAGTCATTTTATATGTTGTGCTATTTCATTATCTTTTTACTTTAATCTCCTAATGATATGGGCTGTGGAGCATATTCTTGCTTACCATCTGCATGTTGTTTTCTCTACTTTGATGAAGCCTCTATTCAGTCTTTCACTTATTTTCAAATTGGGTGGTTTGTTTTCTTACTGCTATTTTAGTAACCCTTTCTTAAAGTGGGTCTGTTTTCTTACTGCTATTTTAGTAACCCTTTCTTAAAGTGGGTCTTTGCATGAATAAGTAAAATGAGGGCTCAATGATCAGTTCATTTATTTAGCAGCAACGGCAGGTATTGCTTCTATGATAGCAAGTATTTACATTCTTCTCTTTTGGTATCAACGGATATTTTTCCAGCTTAACAGACTTAGTACTGGCCCAGGGATTTAGCTAAGTGGCACTGCGTCTGCCTTGCAAACTCAAGGTCCTGAATTCGATCCCCAGTATTAGAATAAATAAATAAATAAATAAAGCAAAAAAACTTAGTACTTCTGACTCCCCTGCAGATAGGGGTGGTCACGTGACATGGGTCTGACTAATCAGAAACAAAATGTAAAGTGCTAATGAGGGCTTCCTGCAAAGCTGATTAAAAATGACAGTCTCAATTGGTATGCACCTTTTTGGTATTCTGCTCTCTGCTTGTTCCTCCTACCATTTTCCACCCGATGAAATGCCAAGGAAAGGAGCACCTAGTTTTTGAGGATGAAGGTGAAGTCACACAACAAGGACATTACAGGCAATGGCTCAAAGGAGCCTAAGGCACACGACACCATGGAGATACTGTAGAAGGCTTGGGGCTCCAGTCTTTTCGTTTTGTGACAAGATGTGCTCCTCACTTTACTCAAGTTTCTGTGACAGGTAACCAGTTCACTCTCTGATTCAGCAACATGAAAGAAAGGAAAAGCCAGAGAAATATAATTGGCAACTTTGAATACACCATTGGTATCTTATGCCTTCATATTTTTGAGTTCTATATCAATGACCTAAATATAGACATGGCAGCTATTCCCCTGGGTAAGTGAAGAAGAAATGAAAGTCATTTTAATTTAAATGTCAATTCAGCTCTGGAATCAGCAGAAATTTATTACTCTAGTATCAATATTTCAAATACTAGGACATTGGAATTATTTACTAAAATCTTGTTTATGTTATTAATTACCAGTATACATCAAGTAGGCACGACATGGTAATATATAATTTTTAGAAAGAGCTTTAAAATCCATCCCTTGAAAGTAATGTAGATGAATGGATTAGATACTTTATGAAGATGAGTGCATGATTTTTTTCTATTGTCTTTCTGGTCCTGCAAACTTTGCCGAAATCATTACCATCTTCTGCGTATTTCCCCTAGCTTTTAGTTGCTGATGATAGCTGGACCAAATGTGTATTGTTATCAGGTGTCTGTAAGACAAGATCGAGATACCTGAATTAGTTTTTCTTGGGCTATCTATTGGGATTTGAAATTTTTTTTTCTAAATGTTTTTCCCTTTTGTGATCTTATTTGTAATTTTTTAAGGCATGCAAATAAGACATTTCTATTCTACATTTTAAACTCATTTCCTTAAGGACCTGGGAGAACATACTTGGCTTTTCTTTCTTTTCCAGCTCCCTTCTTTTCTTCTTGTCTATTTTTGCTTCAGTCATCTGGCACCACCGGGCTATGCTCCACTAAGTTAGTAGGGTTTAGGTTAGGAGGCTCAGGAACAGCCTGTTTCATACGGATTGTGGCTTTTCTCGCACGTGGGATGCACAGAAATTGGAGCTAGGGTAAACACGAAAAAAAGGGTCTACAGAAGAAGATGAGAAGGGTCTGAAGCCACAACGTTAACAGATTAGTGCAGGACGTAAAAACAACTGAGGTCAGGGCCACAGTCCTCTGGGTGTGACTGAATCCTCAAACCCAGGTACATCGACCTCAGATCCTAGGAGCCCTCAAAACCCAGATAAGATTAGGGTATAGGTGAAAACTCACGACTATTGTGGTGGGTCCCTAGCAACCGGAGAAGCTACAAGGATAAACTCAGCCAAAAGTAACCCCACCTGGCCACTCGGAAAGGGACGCTAGCCAAAGCCTCCTCCTAGAGCCTGGGCAGAGGATTAAGGATGAGAGCCTCCTCCTCCGCAATCCCCCGCCCCTCGGCGCAGACGCTCCGCTTGCCTGCTGATTCCCCATTGGCCGAGATTCTCGCCAATCCTAGTGAAGCGGCCCGGTGAGTGGGCTCTGGTTGGAGGAGCAGGCGCTGAGCCCCCCTCCTGCTCCGGCCGGGACCCCCGCCTGGAGGGGGCGTGGCCGTGGCTGTAGGATGAGAGCCTCCTCCTCCGCAATCCCCCGCCCCTCGGCGCAGACGCTCCGCTTGCCTGCTGATTCCCCATTGGCCGAGATTCTCGCCAATCCTAGTGAAGCGGCCCGGTGAGTGGGCTCTGGTTGGAGGAGCAGGCGCTGAGCCCCCCTCCTGCTCCGGCCGGGACCCCCGCCTGGAGGGGGCGTGGCCGTGGCTGTGTG